CCTTTGCCTCTTGTCTGTAAAATGGGATTGAAAATACCCATTCTTCTTGTGCCCCAAGTCTTTGTGGGGATCAAATGAGAAGATAAGAAAGTTCTCTGTCCCAAATTTGAGATGGTATCCATTGCCACCTGTTTGGTAAATTTGCACTTTGTGTGTTAGGGCCTCTTGGAGCCCTGTGGCTCTGCCTGCTCCTTTAATTCCCTGGGTGACTAAGCTCTGCTGCAGTGGCTGGAGTGCTGGCGAAACACAGAGCCCCCAGAGGGTGTGAGTTGCATCTGGACAGAGCGAGGCCAAGGGAGATTCTTATCCAGGCAAGACTGGGACACGCTTTGTGCTGATTACAGAGGCCGCGTGGGACAAAAGAGTTTGATTTGTGTAATCCAACCTTGTCGATACCACAGTCAGCTTTGTATTTATTTTTTTTCAAGCCTTTCACTAGTTGGCCTCTCTTAGGTGAGATTCAGGCTGTCACATAAAGGACATCTTTCAACCTGGCCAGACATCAGTTGTTCTCGGCCTCAGACAATTGGGTTATCGGTACTCACTCCAGCACATGCTTGTTGAGCACCTACTGTGTGCTCTGCACATTCCCCATTACGTAGGACATGAAACTGAGTGTCCACAATGCTTGCCTCTCCTGGCCACAGCAGGAAAGTGAGGCTGAGCCACAGAATATCTGTCGGTCTCTGTGAGACCCCAATTCATACCCTCTCAAATCAGAAGAGAACACTTTGATCCTCCTTGCTAGGGCTCTTTCCCTCCTGCATTCTCCCTTCTTTAATAAAAAGCTGGCCTCGGTCCTAGGCTCTGTGAATTTGGAGCTTCTACAGTAAGCTTTCCGTTTGCCGTCCCTAGCCCCCACCCTGGGGCTACTCCCCGGTGCATTCTGGGAGCCCCTGTTCTGTGAGTGGCGCCCATGCTGGTCTGGGAGAGCTGGGCCTTGCCCCTGGGGTTTGCCCTCATTGATCTCAGACTGTGCGCTGGGCCCCGTGCCAGGGGCTGAGAGTCAGAGGCCAGGCACACTCCTTCCTGGTTCCCCCTTCCTCTGCCTTCTCCTCCACACCCTCCTCTGGAAGGACCCAGGCTCTCTGGTGTTTTGGTGTCTTTGTGTCCTTCATCCTGTTCAGTAAAGTCTGGTTTCCTTCCTCCTTACTGTTTCTCTCTCTGATCTCCCTTCGAGTTCTTTTCCTTTCCTTTTTAGACAGACCCCTTTGTTTAACTTTTAGACAATATTTTATGTTCTGGCATCCCTTGGAATCAGGGTATTCTTTGATTCTCTTGGTTGAGGCAGCATGGTTTCCTTTGGGGGCTTCCCTATGGCAGGAGAGGGCCAGGTGCTGTTTGTGCAGCTCTGCTTGTACCAACGGAGGCTTCAGGGTGGCAGTGTGTAGCTGTTGGCGCCCTGCATTGTAATTGTGAAGGTAATTGTGCTAACAGACTCCTTGGGGCCCAAAAGCACTTCAGTGGTTTCCAGAAGCCTCTCTGTGCCCTGGCTACTGTGGTGCCACCTGGCAGGATCTACTTCTGGCTCACCCCCAGGGCAGGGCATTACTGAGGTTGAAAGGGACTGAAGAAGACACCAGAGTGTGAAGTGTTCTCTTTCAGGCTGTAGGATCATGAATGATTTTATCTTCTCCTCTGTCATTTCTTGAATTTTCCCATTTTTCTATAATTAACATGTATTGCTTTGAGGATGAAAATATGGTAAACCATAAATGTTACCTCTGATTTTTTTGTTTGTTTGTTTGTTTGTTGGTACTGGGGATCGAACTCAGGTCCTTGCGCTTGCGAGGCAGGCAGCAGGACCATTGAGCTAAATCCCTGGCCCTACCTCTGATTTTTAAAATGTGACCCAGGGAGCTTGTCTAATATACAGATTTCTGGGAACATCTGACTCTGCTGGCCTGTGTGGGGCTGAGGACACTTGCCAGCAGCTCTTCAGGGGCTGTGACATAGTCAGGTTTAAAGACAGAGGATCTAATGGTACCTGAATTTTCCTTCCAAATCAAGTGAGTGCATAAGCAGGTTAGGAAGAAATCTCAGCCTCAAGCCAGGCCTTCTTATTCCTAGTCTGGGAGTCCAGCCACCGTCCACAGTGCCTTCCTTCTGGTTCATGAGCCCTGGACAGTATAATGGGCAGAGGCACAGAACAGGATTCTTCCTGAAGGCTGGCCCATACACCACCCACACCTGCCTGGGCTCTCTGCAGACCTCCCACATTCTCGTCTGATAGCACTCACCGGCCCACAGCTGCTTCTGTGTCCCCAAACACCCTCCAAAGGATAAGGTAAAGGCATTGCCTTGCCTTATCCCCAGAGACTTCAGGGGCCAAGAATTTACCCAGGCATCAGGTGGGATTTGGGAGTGACTGAGGAGTACAGTGCTAGGATTGGCCCAGGCCCCAGAGCACAGAATTGCTATCTCTCTTCCCTAGCCACTGAGCTGTTTGGGATGATTCAGTGAAGGGAAGGAAAGGGGATCTGCTCTGGTATAAAGAGAGATGGACAGTGTCACTTGGAGTGAGGTGATGGAGATATTGCTTGAGGGCCAGATGGTCTGGGTTCAGTCCAGTCCCTGCCACTTACTGGCTGGGGGGGGGCTAAATTACCTAACTCTCTGGTTATCTGTACTGGGCATGGTGACATATGCATACTTCACTGGTTTTAAGAGGACCAGAGGAGTTGACAGTGTGCACAGAGAGGTATGTCCTCCAGTGCCCCTTGCAACACCTGAAGATCTGATTCTGGGCTTCCATCTGATGCCCTGGCTGCTGGCCCATGGACTGCACTTTGAGAATCGAAAGGGTGTAGAGCACTGTCTTGGTTACTTTTTTGTTGCTAGGACAAAATACCTGGCATCCATAATTTAAAGGAGGAGAGGTTTATTTTGGCTCACAGTTTTAGTCCATAGTCAGCTGGCTCCAAGACAGAAACAGAATGGCAGAGGGGTATTCATGGAAGCTAGGAAGCAGAGAGAGAAAGGAAGCTCTCCCTCCTGGGGGAGCGAGATGTGTCCTAGGTCACATCCCTAGTGACCCACCTCTCCTGACCAGACCCCACCTCCTAACTGCACGTTTAGCTATGTACAGTTCATCTCTGGACTAATCCTCTGATTAGTACCCTGCCACCATCCAGTCACCTTCCAAAAGCCCCACCTCTGAACACATGAGCCTTCTAGGGAACATTTTAGATTTAACCATAAGCAGTCAGCATGGAGCCTGGACCCCAGTGCATGCCATTACTGTTACAGCATTAGTGTTCTTGCCACTTGGCCTTTACAGACAGGCACCTGAGGAGGAGTCGGGGTGCCTGCAGATTGGCCTCTGCAGGGGTGCGTCCTTTCCTACATTCTCCTTGTGTTCCACCACATGACCTCTGCACCTGTCCTGGGCAGCAGCTGGGGAGGGGAGGCAGGAGGAAGGGTCCTCTGCTCAGCTGCTCCAGGCCGAATCCATTTTCACGCTGCTTTACTCTAACCAGATTTTGTTAAGCTGGGTGTGTTTCTTCTTTTTACTCATCTTTGTTTACAAAACACAAGAAAGCCATCAGTCTGCAGCGGTGCGGGCCAGGCCTCTGTGTGCACACTGGACATCCCTTGCCCTCCTAGCAGGGCCATGCCTCCAGCCTGCTTGGTTGTTTTCCAGTCTCTGTCCACAGGGAAAGAGCTGTCCCGTTGCCTTGGGCACAGGGCACCGTGCACCCACCTGGGTTGGCAGGCCTCTGAGGTCAGCCTCAGTGGGCACTGCTTCTCTTTTTGTGGCTGAGGATGGGGCAAGGGGAAGCCAGCAACCCACGTGGTTCCTGGGGAGAGGGCTGGATGGACCTTGGCAGCTCTGGAGTCCAGGAGGCCTGTGCTCATGCTCTGTCCAGTTGTCCCACTGACTTTATCCTTTGTCAGTCGGACTAGGAGTCACCTCCCAGGGGCCAATGGCCGAGGTTAAAGACTAAGAGAGGCCCCCAGCTCCCCAGGGCATTTCACATAAACCTGCCTGCTGACTGGGCCCCTGGAGGAATCCAAGTCCAGCCTGTGCTGGCCCCTTTCTGCACACTAGGTTTTTATTCCTCTGTCCACTGAGAACCCTGTGGAGGCCCCAGCCCAGTCCTCCTCCCCTGGCAGACAAGGAGAGAACAAAGACTGCCTCTTCAGCACCCCCTTGTCCCCTCCAGGCCTCTGCTGGCCCCTGGGAAATGGTACCTGGAGTGGGCCGGACACCAGCAATGACCCTGGGAGCAGCTGACCCCTGAACTTTGCTCCCCACTTCCCAGCCTGCAGTAGAACCTGGGATAACCTCCAGAGCGTGGTGTGCATTCCTTGTTTTTGTTTTGTTTTCAAGTATGTTCTTGCTTAACATTTAATGGGCTCCAGTCAGTAGGAAAGCGCTCCAAGAGGGGTTATTTATGGCTTACTGTCAAGAGCAGCTATAAAAAGGGCAGCGCAGAGCTGGAGATGCTGAGAAGGGGGAGTGGGCGGGTGCATGAGAGAGAGAGAGAGAGAGAGAGAGAGTTTGCACTGGATGAAATCAGGTTTTTGCTGCCTCAGCAGTGTGGTTTAAATTGAAGATTAACCCTTTGACCTTCACAGTGTCAAATCACTTGCAGATGGAGGCTCACCCCCCTCCCCTCAATGTTCTCTCTGTTACTTTGGAGTGGGGAGGGAGGGGGTGACTTCTTTCTTTCCCAAGCAAGTTTGTTGTTCCTGCAGTGGAGCTGGGGGGGCTTGGGAGCCAATCTGATTAAAAGCAGCACTGGGGTAAACTCTGGAAAATCCTGTGAGCAGAGGAAAACGTCTAACCCTCTTGTGCACAGTGCACACAGAGCCTGGCCCTGTCTTTTTCATGCCAAAACTTCAGTTGTTTGGGGAGATCCCAACCATCTCCTTATTCCCTTGTCTCTTGTCCTCACCCTTTGCTGGACTGATGGGATTGAAGTGTTGGGCTGGAGGCACAGAGATCTGAACTCTCACTAGGAATAATAAGTCAAGACGATCTTTTTCCTTTCCAGCACCAACAAAACCGGAATAGAGCGTGGTGGCAGGTCCTACTCTTCCTGCACAACCTCGGGCCGAACGGAGAAGAGAACAGGGAAGGGGCAGGTCCTAGGTGAGGCTGGGCTGCCCTCTTCGCATGGCCCATCAGGAACACACGCGATCTGGAACAGAAGGACTTCGGGGAGGACTGACACTGTCTTGTGAAGTTGTTTTTATTGTTATTTGTAACAGTTCTCTCTCTGTGTACATACAACATACCCCAGCGGGGACCTTCTTCCCGCTGTTCAGGGCCTCGACCAGAGACGGGGGCCTTTGTCAAACACTGTTGAAGGAGAGGCTGACGTGTCTGTCTGCGAGGGTGGAAACTCCCCAGGGCCCTGGCAAGTCAATTCTTCAGTCATCCAGTGTGGAAGATGACCAGTTACTTATGCTGTCCAGGAAGTGGACTAATGTTTTTCTGCAGGAACTCAGTGAAGAAATAGGAGACTGGATTAGACCCCCCAGTTCCATTAGACCTATCAGTCTTCCTGGTGCACTGGGGCTGTTGCCACCTAATGTCACCTGTTTTAACCTGCCCGGGTCTCAGCCTGGGCCTTCCCAGCTAAGGCTGGCAGTGTTGCCTGGCCAGCCAGCCAGTTCCACATCTGGGTTCTCGTGTGCCCCAGCCAGTGCCCGCCCCAAGGGCTCAGGGATTCTTGCCCAGACCCTGTCACCTCCAGCAGACCTCAGGGAGGGTTAAGTTTCTCCAGGAACCCCTCAAAAGTCCTGTTCATGAACCAAGCTTCTGGATTGGCCTCCCATCAGATCTGGTTCCACATAGAGGCTCCAGGATTAATCCTTAGCTGCAGAACCATTGCCACTTCTGCTGCCTGGCTGTCAGCCACAGATGAGCCAAAGCCAGTCACCGTACTGCACCCAGCAGCTTGTGCCTTTGTCAGCTCTGTTTCTAAAAATCTCAGCCACCTGGACTGTGTTCTACCCCCAGAATCACACTGAAGGACATAAAGGGGCAGGCTCACAGCAGGGCTGGGAACTGTGATGGCCACCTCACTGATGCAAGCCTGGCCACACAGGGCCCCAGACCCTTGGTCTCCTTGGAAAACATACCTCCTCCCCCTGAGCCCCCATGCCTTTTTTCACACCTACTGGGATACAGCAAGAAGCCAGGACAGTGGCTTTGTCAGTGGAAAAGTGACTTATAGAGTAATAGACAATGATTAGATCGTGGGACCATCAAAGCTAGGGACACGTTTCCTGTGTTCCTCTAGCTTCTAGCTAGGCCGGCAGGGCATGTTCTGGAGCTTGGTGAAGTCCCACCTGCCTCTGAACTTCACCCTTCTCTTTCTGCTGTGGCACTAATGGAGGGAATTTAAAGCAGCTGGTCTGGCAGCTCTGATAGCAGACACAAGGAATCTGTTAACCAGACACCTAGAAGTTAAATTACAATTTTTGCATATGTAAGAAAAGACAACATTGGTGCTAAAGTTGAAGCAAAGCCCAAAGAAAGGCAGAGAAGACCCTGGGTCTACTCAAGAAAATCCAGGAGGAGTCCAGAATAGACTTTCAAATCTGAACAAGTCCAAACTCCTCCAGTTATGCAGTCTTTAGTACTGTTGAAGGACAATTGATCTGGATGTACAGTTGGGCAGGTTGTTCACTGCATGAGGGGACCTGCAGAGGGAGCTAAAGGAGGCTGAAGCCCAGCCCGTTCTCTGCTCTAATCTGCATGCACTGAAGTGGGGCTGCACCTGCTCAGTTAGGGGTGCCTTTCCTTATTTGCACAGAGGTACCATATGTGCCCACAGTGTGGTTCTCAGAAGGACCTCACTTTGTGCGTAAGCCTTTGTTTTGTTCTGCTCAGATGATTGGAGTTATTACCTCTTCTCGGCCAGAATCATTTTCTCAGGGTGTGTACCGTGGTTTGCCTGCTAAGAAGCTGGGTTCCTGCTTAGAAGGAGGAGGGGCCCAGGGAATGATACAAAGAGTGGCTCTAGGACACACTGGCCCGTGAGACCCAGCCTTCCTAGTGGTCTCCGTACTGTGTGGTGACTGCGAAGACACACGTTGTCTTCCTCCTCTGATCCAGGCTGCGCAGGGTGTCCCCAAAACACAGAGGCAGGGTTGTTTACACCAGCCACTTTAGCCCCTCTCTGCAGGCTTCCCGCCTGAGCTGAGGGAGAAGATGGCCCAGACCTCGGTGCAGAGGCAAAGTCCTCAGCTTCCGAGCCCTTGTCAGGCCAGGCTGGATGTCCCACATCCTGTCCTGAGCCCAGCAGAAAATCCAGCCTGCGGCCAGCCGGAAGTCAGTCTCACGGCACTGTCTCCACAAAGTGCCAACCCGGGAAGAAATTCACTGTCTTAGGCGGGCCAGGGCAAAGCTTAAGCCCTCTCCTATTCCTACCTCCTAAAAATGCAATCCTCAAAGTGGGCTAGGGATAGTGGTAAAGGGCTGGCCCAGCATGTGAGGTGGGAGGTAACCGGCATACGAGCCCCAGGAGGGCACGTTCCCCCCCGCTGGCTGTTTAATTGGCCCCTTCCCCTTCCACTCCCCAAGTCCAGCCTCAGGAGATGCCTTCCCCCTGCTTCCCATCCCCCACCCGAGCCTGGCCGGGAGGTGGAGACTCAGGTTGAGAAGGAGGGAGTCTGACCTGGGTCCTGACCTCTAACCAGCCGAGGCAAGTGGGCTTTTGTAGAGTGCTAAGGGGTGAGGGAGGGAGAGAGCGAGAAACCTGGGCCTCAGTGCTGGGCTGCCCTGGAGGAAGAGGAGCTTCATATGCATGCTCCCTTTTACTTCAGAACTCCAGGGCTATCTAGGAATGACAGCTCTAACAGAGGGACACCAGGCCGACACTGGCTCCTGCTGGTGAGGCCAGAGCTGCCAGTCAGACCTCTGCCCCTGCCTTGACGGTTTCCGAGTCTGGCTGCTGGACAGCTACCTGTCTCTTCCCAGGCTCAGCCCCCAGAGAAGTGGGGCCATGTGCGGGGTCTGGCTGAGCCTGGGCAGGGCAGGAAAGGGCTTTGGGGGATGGTCCAGACAGGGCTCCTGTCCTGAAGCTTTCCAGGAAGGTGGCTGTGAGGCCAATGTGACCGTCCCGTTAGTAAGAAGCACACTGTCCAAGAAAGCTTGTCTTTCCTAGGGACTTGATGGGGAGGTGGGGGTCAGGAGATCCCAGAGCAGCAGAAGGCTCGAGTCTCGGGGTTCTGTAGGGTCTCTCTGTAAAGATGAGGACCCCTGGAGGCCACCCTGGCTGACCCAGCAGGAAGGGGTTAACGTGTGAGTCTCCCAAGCTTCCAGGAGGGAAGCTGTGGGCTGCACCCTGGAGGGACTAGCTTCCATAGCGGCCTAGCCTTGGCCGAGGTGCTCAGAGCTTGCAGGCCCCTCTGTGCGGGTGGCCAGTGCCTCTCCCTACCCCTCCTTGGGTCCACAGGGGCTGCTGGGGGAGACCCAGTGAGATGTAGCATTTCATTCATCCCCAGGTTAGCTGTCCTGGTGTCTGGGCACTCTGCCTCTGGGACAGGAGAGGAATGGGGACCCATTACTTTGTAATCTGTACAGAGTGTTTGGCTTTATGTTCTTCACACGCATATATGTGCGTGTGTGTATATATTTCCCCATCAACTGGTACAATTTTTAATAAAACCATTAAAAACAAAGCTCATCTTTCTCTTTTGAGGTATGATAAACTTATAAGTGATTCAGTTGGAGAATTAGATTTCTCACTTTTCTCTTAGCTGCCATTCCCCCCCCCCCTTCTCTGCACTACTAGAGATTGAACCCAGGGCCTTCACATTCAGCTACATCCAAGCCTTTTAAAAATGTATTTACCTATTGAGACAAAGTCTCACTAAGTTGCTAAATTGCCAGGCTGGGCTGGAGTTTGCACTCCCCTTCCTCAGCCTCGGAGGGCGCTGGCATTACAGGTGAGCGTCCGTGGGCGTCCCTGTGCCTGGCTTCCCTGCCATCCTCAGTTACCCCGAGGCTCTGAGCTTTTGTCAGGACTACTTTTCTGTCTTGAGGTTGAGAAGAACAGATCCTGAGGGCAGGGTGAGCACAGCAGAGGTGCCCTGGTTCTGGCTGCTGCACGATGTTGAGCGAATACATGACTGAGCCTTCAGTTCTTTCATGAGCAGCGTCCAGCTCTGTCTCTCCACAGGGTAAAGGGGAGAAGCCAGAGGACCTGCTGGGCCCCTCCCCCAGCACTCAGCTGTGGTGCTGGGCTTTGCTCCTTTTATCTAGGCAGAATCACAGGAGACACTCTAGGGCAGCGGTGTTGAAACTGTGGCACGTACCACATAGAGCCCTCTCTGTCAGCAGCCAGGGCAAGTCGCCCCAGCACCGCCCCTGCAGCCGAGCACCGGCTAACAAACAGCGCACCTAGGGGCCGTGTTGGCACTTTGCGATAAATAAGTGGGCTTGGGGCTGCAGTTTGGGCACTTGGTCTCTAATACAAGTTTCACCGTCACTGCTTTATGTGTAGGGGACTTCCCCGGCTCGTGTTTCTTTGTGGATTAACAATGTGTCTGACTTCAAAGGGTAAACTAACCTCTTGATGAACCCAGCATGGTGGTGCACACTTGTAATCCCAGCACTCTGGGAGGCAGAGACAGGAGGATCACAAATTAGACCCTAGCGTGAGCAATTTAGAGATTTAGCAAGATCCTGTCTCATAATTTTTTGAAAAACATTTTAAGAAGGACTGAAGATGTAGCTCGGTCCAAAGGCCCTGGGGTTCCCTTCCCAGCACTGGATAGATCAATTAATTAATTAAAATAAAATAAAGCTCTGGCCAGAGTTCTCTAAGCCTTTGGGAAAAACCACTCCTGGTCCTATTATCACTAAGATGTGAGCAAAAGGGCCAAGCAGGCTTAACAGTGCTGGGGCCTCTGTGCTTTGGGAAGCTGCCTGCGCTCCAGTGTCCAGCCGAGGACTCCAGTTCCTTCCCACCTCCGCTGACGGTTGCAGTTTGAATGATCTTGTCTGACAGATGCATGTGCTGAGGCCCAGTAATTTTCTATTTGGGCTCTTTAAATAGCTGAGTCAGGCTAAGGGGTCTCACCCCATCCATCTGTGTTTCCATTTGGAAATTGCCCAACTTTTGCCCAGCTCTTTGAGGCAGCCAAACTTGTCTATTTTTAATGCCAAGTAAGTGTCTGTGCTCCTGTAAAACACGGCACTCCGAACCACTCTGTGTTTGGACAGGGAGGTTTATTTTTACTGGCGTGTGGTAGAAGTGAGGCCCGGTGCCATGCCCGGATGTTATTGTACATTTCACGTGTGCACTGTAGCTGAGTATATGAAGCCGTTCCTACGGGGACCCAGGGGATCTGTGAGTGATTGGTGACAGTAACGTCTTTCTTGCAAGTCATCTGCCCCTACACTGGATAGCAACCTGAGACCTCACCCTTGTCCTACTCACCCTGTCCCCTGCCTCTCTGATCCCTCTAGAGAGCATGCAGTGCGGAGGTTAAGGGCACAGTGGCCCATAGTAGAACCGGGTATGTGGCAGGTTGCATAATCTTTCTATGCCTCCATTTCCTCTGCTGTAAGATGAGAGAGCAGTACCGACCCCTATGTTTGTTATGAGAGTTAAATCTGTGAATCAGTGTAAAGGTGCTTAGAAATAATGCTTGGCGCCAGGCATGATGGCACATATCTATGATTCAAGCTCTTTGACAGGCTGAGGTAGGAAGATTGCAAGTCTGAGGCCAGCCTAGGGAATGTAGTAAGACCCTGTCTCAAAATAAAGCCCAAAAGCCAGGGATTTAGCTCAGTGGTGCCACCTCTGCCTCGGAAGCACAAGGTCCTGAATTCGATCCCTGGAACCGAAAAAATTAAAATTAAAATAAAAAAAACACAAAAAAAGACTGAGGATGTAGCTCAGTGGTAGAGTGAGCAGGGTCCTTGGTTCAATCCCCAGTACCCACCCTGCACACACAAAACAAACAGTGCTTTGGGCCAGGGATTTAGCTCAGTGGTGCCCCCGCCTGCCTCGCAAGCGCAAGATTTCAGTAACTGTCAACTCTTGATGATATTACTTTTTATTATTTGTTGGCAGTGGGCTCCAGCTAGTCTTGCTTGGAAATATCTTCTCCATCTGCCTTCTATCCCTGCGTCATCATCTTAAGTCCTTGTGCCTGGGCTGCAGAGGGTTCTAATTGGTCCCTTGCCAGTCTTGCCCCTTCCACAGTGCCAGTGCGCATGTGTGTGTGTTTTGAGACAAAGTCTTACTAAGTAGTCCAGGCTGGCCTTGAACTTGCTACATAGTCCAGGCTAACCTCAAACTTATGATATCCTGCTTCAGTCTTGAGTGCTAGAGTCACAAGTCTGTGCCCTCATCCCCAGTTTGCCAGGGGCCTTTCTAAAGGCAACCACAATTCCTTTGCCCCCACTGAAAACTTGCTCTACAGGATTATTCCTCTCCAGATACCCTGCTGTATTAACATTTTGTGTGCATATTGTGCATAACAAATTACCCCTCAATTTAGCAGTTTAAAGCAACAGACATTTATGATCTCAGAGTTTCCATGGGTCAGGAATTCAGGAGCAGCAACCCAAGATAACAGCAAGAAAAGAGCTGGTATTAAGGTGATGATTCCTAGCCAGGCATGGTGGCACACACCTGTAATCCTGGCACTTGGGAGGCTGAGGGAGGAGTATCTCCTCGAGTTCGAGGACAGCCTGGGGTACATAGTGAGCTCAAGGCCAGTCTGAACTACAAAGCAAGACCCTGTCTCAAAACAACAACAGCAACAAAATAAATACAAGATGGTGATTCCTGAAGCACCCATATAACTTGCATGAAGTCAACTGTGCACATTTAGTTGAGAAAAGGGGTAGAGGAGCAAGAGGGAGGGAGAGAGACTGATGCAATGAAACTCAGTGGGAGAGTGCAGCACTTGTGCCCTGTCCTCCAGGAGCAGGCAGTGCGCGCCTCCAGGGAGGGCGTCATGGGAACATGCGTGAGAGCCCCTCCTTGGCCTCATGTCCCGCCAGCGTCTGATCACACTCAGAGAGAAGTTTCCCGGGTCCAGCTTGGCCTTGATGCCAGCCAACGTTTTCTTCCACTGCTGAACTGAGGCTGCAGAGGAGAGGTTTCCTGGCTGGGATTTCCTGAGACATGGTCGTGTCTGCTTGGTGAACTTCATGGCATCTAAAGGATTTTTCAAGGACAGTTTTCACTTTGTGTGATTACTGCTTTACAGGAGGTCTTGGAACCAATTCTGGTGTAAAATGAAACTCCTTTGGACCACTAAACCCAACCACTCTGCCTTCATCTTCCGCTTCCTAGGAGAAAGCTTTGCCCTCCTAACTGGCAAGGCTCAGCATGGAATTAAATTGGAAATAGACTTGCCCCACAGGGAGGGTGAGAGTAGGTGATATTAGTGATGGCCACTGCCCCTTTAATTTTTATTGTAGTTTTTGGTGGTATTGTGAGTTGAGCCCAGGGTTTCACACATGCTAGGCAAATGCTCTACCACTGAACTGCATTCCCAGCCCCTTTAAAAATTTTTTTATTTTGAGACAGGGTCTCACTCAATTGCCTAGGCTGGTCTCAAACTTGCAATCCTCCTGCCTCAGCCTCCCAAGTAGCTGGGATTATAGGCATGTGCCCCTGCACCCAGCCTGGCCACTGCCTTTTGGCTTGTCAAAGGTCCCCTGGCTCCATGCCATCTTGATGTGAATGATGCCAACCCTGTGTGAGAAGATGAAGCTGGCTCATGATCAGTGTCACCGGCTGAGCTCCAAGGTACCATCCTAGTCTAGTGCAAGGGGTCAAAAGACATAGGCCACATAGCCCCTGTCCTGAAAATTGTGTCCTGCAAGAAATCCAGGTTGTATGGAATAATGGGAAACCTGCCCAGCTAAGATGAGGTTTTTAAGCTGACTCTTACTAAGTGGCTGAATGACCTGAGGCAAGAAAGTGACTTCCCCTCTCTGGTGCTGGGGGTTCTCATCTGTGTATGTGGGGGGTAGTAGGACCAGGCTGCCTGTTTATCACCATTTTATCTAGAAGTTTGTTTTTGGTCTCTTGAGCTCTTGTTTGGGCTGCAAAAAATCTCTGATCCTGCCCTCAGGAAAAGGCACATAATATGCACGAGAATTTGTGCATAAGATTTCAGGCAATGAATTGAGTGTCTGATCTGCCCTAAGGCAACCAAGTTTAAGGACAAAGGTTTTATCCCAAAGCAGTAAGCAGAAGGACAAGCAGTGCAAATGCCTAGAGCCCTAAGCAAGCTCTTTCCTCATCCTGCTCTTGATTTGCTTGCTGCAAGAGGTCACCCCTGTGTCCTGCATGTTTCACCCATGCGCGCTGGGAAGGCAGATGGTGCAATCTCTGGAGGCTTGTGTTTACCATATTGCATTCCTGAGTTCAGAGACCCACACTTCCCGTCAGTGCATGCAGAGACTGAAGCCGACACAATGGGCTGGTTCTTTTGGAGGCCATGACCCCATCCTAGCCAGGGTGTTTGTGGCCACTTTTCTTAGTAGCCTTTCTCTTATCTAGCTTAAAGAGGGGCAGTGAACCTGAGGTGCCTTTCCACCAACTCCAAGGCTTCTGATTGAGGAGCCTTGAGGTTCATGCTGAATGTGCCGGCGGGCAGCAAACAGACCCTAGAAATAAGGAGAATGTGGCCTGTGGCAGTGGGAGACCCAGAGC